ACCACCTAATGACAGATAGACCTAGACCTAGAAAGGATTCAGTCCAGAAGAGTCTAGACCTGATTTGTCCTGAGGTTGATTCTGCCTCTTAGAGACACTGAGAGGTGGCCCTCAAAGGTTCTGGCTGGAGATACTGGGAGAGAGGTGGGTGCATAGTGGTTCCACCTGTAACTCCAGGAGCAGGGTGATGGGGTGACATTCTGAGGAGCAGTTGTGCTTCTCTAAACTTTCCTGCCCCCCTCCATGGTCCCACCCCACTTCTAGCCCTGGGAACTTCCCCCCGTCTCTAACCCTGCACATTCCAGCTGTCACTGTTGTGTTTGGCCAGCTCTGAGTACCCTGTTTGTTTTGGGCTTTTTGCCTTGTGCCTGCTTGGCTACTGCCTGTGGCTATCTTCTAACCTACCCTGGATATGGGCAGTGGATTTCCAATGCCTGTGAGAAGTGTCTCTCCTTGGGAGCTAGAGCTTCCTCTTAATACCCTACTATCATTTTGTTCAAGTGGGTGAACAATTACTGCATGCCTACAGTGAGCCAAGCACAGTGCTGGGTGCTTTAATGAGGAGCTTTCAGAAAAATATGGACAGGATCCATAAGAGTTACAGGCCAGAAGGGCACAGGTGACTGTAACAGCATACATTACATCACCAAATTGCTTCTACTGGTATTAAAAATAGATGAAGAGAAACTTTTCCATTCTTACTTTTTCCTTCTGAATCACAAATTAAACTGGAGAATATTGTTGGAAACCATGCCTGGTCAGAGTCTTTGGTTAGGGCCTTGGAGGGGTGAGAGCAGCCACAGCAGTGAGATTTTGGCAGGGCATGCATCACTGGGAGGCACAGACTTCCCTGTGCTGGATTCTGCTGAGCCGGGCTGTGTGCTGTCACCAGATGGTTCCTGACCACCCAGACTTATCTGGGCTGGGAGGACGGTTGAAGATCACAAAACCACGAGTGTGCACACCACTTCCTGAAATGCCCAGTAGTAGTTTGAGGCCACCCGTGGCTCTCCTGTTCATAGGATAACCTCAGATAACTCACGTGCAGGGGTATTTGGTATCTCTGACTATCTCCACTGTACTTTTTGTAAATTATTCCATCATTTGAACTTAGGTAGGGATAGAATTTTTTTTTTGCTGTTTTGTTTTGTTTTGTTTTGGCAGCTGGCCAGTACAGGGATTGAATCCTGGGCCTTGGTGTTATCAGCATCATGCTCTAACCTAAAAGGAGTTTTATGAGAGGATTCACTTATCTTTCCAGTTTTATAAGAAAAAGTCCATTTTCTTTACATTTTATTTTAAAATAGAAAACTAATGCTTCTGAGTAAACTTGTCAGGGTACTAAATTATTTTTAAGCATTTCCCCTTATATAAGAATTCAACACTGGCAATAAGCACCAGATTGTATGGGATTATTATATATTTTTAACACTAGGACAGAAAGATTGAGAGCAGCACTGGGCAGAACTGTTTGAATCCCTACTCCTGGACAGAGGGTTCAGTCACTGGCAACCAGGAGGACTGATGTCTGAGGGAAAGCAGATGACTTGGGGCTAGATAACAGCAAGCTCTGTCTGCTCAGCAGCAGTGCTTGCTAAGGGCCTTGTGTGTTTACACAGTTCATATATGTGACCTGAATGTTTTGATGTGTTGTTCAGGGGCCTTCCTGCTCTACATGGATTCTTATTACTTCCCTGGACTTATCTAGTCAAAAAAAGTTTACTCTTGGGTTTTCTGTGCCCACACAGTACCTGTTTCTGCCTCCTGAACCTTTGGCCTGCTCTTTTCCCTGCCAGGGATGCTCCCCTCCCATCTTCCTTCCCTGCTGTTCCCTTTTCTCTCTGGCCCTTGCCTCCCAGCTAGGCTGTTAGTTCCTTCAAGGAAGCTCGTCCTTGTCACCTCCCTCTTGAGGTAGAGGTGTTGGTGTTCTGCAAGCATCTCGTCTGAGGAGCAGGAGTGTCCTTTCCCAGCTTCAGGCTGATCATATCACACATCCTGTTTCTCATGTGCTTTTTGTCCAGAGCATTTTGCTTTTGTGATCTGCCAACACAGATAAGGGTTATATGGGTTTCATTACAGCATTATTTGTAATACCAAAAAGGTGGAAGCAGCTTAAATATAGGATATTAGATAAATAAATTGTGACATGTTCACTTAAAAGAATACTGTTCAGCAGAAATTAGCGAATGAATGAGAACCGTATGGCTCAGCATGGATAGAACTTGAAAATGTAATATTGACTGAAAAGGGTATGTTTCAGGGGCTGGCTGGTTAGCTTGGTTGGTTAGAGCATGGGTTGTAACACTAAGGTCAAGGATTCAGATCCCCATACTGGCTAGCCACCAAAAAAAAAAAGTATGTTCCAGAATAGTTATAGTATGATACCATTTATGTACAATTTGAAGCCCACAAAACAGTACTTTTTGTTGTTTGTGAATACACAAGTATTAAAGGAATGGAAATTTGAGCAAGAAAGATATATATCAACTTCAGGATAGTTATTGCCTTTGAAAGGGGAGAAGGGTGTGGGATCAGGGAGGGGCACTTGGGGATTTCAGTGTACTCTGATATACTTCTTAAAATCTGAGACAAATATGGCAAAAATGTTAAGATTTGGTAATTCTTTGTGGTAGGTTTGCATTATTAGTAATTTTACGTGTGCTTAAGATATTTCATTAAAAATACACGATTATCTTTAGAATGTCATAATTTTCATCACGGGGGATAATCAAAAAATAGCCATTTATATTTTTGCCATGAGTTAAAGTTTAACAAGATTTTCTAAACACAGTTTACACATTTAACCAATTAATAGGTCATCTTGGAATTGGTGGATTTTATTTGATGTTTCCTGATGGAGTGTTGAGTCTGTGGAGCAGAATAAGAAGTGTCAAGGATGCGTTTTAGAAATTGCCAAATGAAGACTTTTACGTGTTCTATATATCTGAAGGTGGTCAACTTACTCTTTTTTCCTCCCTTGTCCCAGGAACCTCACTTTGACCCATCTGAAGTCCATATGGCTCTGTATGATGAAGATCTCCTGAAAAATCCTTTCTATCTGGCTCTTCAAAAGTGGCGCCCTGACTTGTACAGCAAGGTGGCCCAAGTCCATGGCATTGTAAGTGCATTGATTCTTAGGTGCAGATGATGCCAGAAATGTGGTAGACTGAGGTGGAGTTTATAGGGACAGTTTTAAACCTGCTCAGTTTACAAGCCCCCAGAACCATGCTTGGTCTGGGAATGAGCAGCGAAGGGCCACTGTGGACTGCTCCCTCCAGGAAGCCTCCTAGGACTGCAGCCCAAGGAGCACTTCTTTCTCTGAATTCTTGGCCCCATCTGGGATTAATCATGTCCTTTTGTGGAGTGCCCCAGATGACACTGCGGTCTTACATTGTGGTGTTTGCCTATCTCTCTTATTTTTCTGTTGACCATGAAGGCTTCTCCAGAGCAGAAATCAGTTCCTCATTGGGGCCTCACAAATCCTTGTCTGTGTCTGTGTGTTGGTGTTCACTCCAGTAGAATGAGGGAACGTGTGAACACATTTATACATAGCTTGAAAGGCATTTCCCAAAGGGAAAAAACCGTGATGAAAGAAATTTTATAACAGAGGCCACAACCTCAAAAGCCCACAGGGGCAGCAGGTCACAAGAATAAGGGAAGCATGTAGGAGAAACCGTAGCCTGCTGGTGGGGGCACCTGCTGCCTGGAGGGAGGGCAGGCCCCGTATTGGGGGTCTTCCCAGTTCTCAGGTCAGTGAAGTTGGTGGGCATCTTATTTATTTATTTAAATTTTATTTTGTCGATATACAATGTGATTGATTATTGTGGCTCATTACTGAAACCTCCCTCCCTCCTCCCTCTCCCACTTCCCACCCAAGAATGTCCATTCTGTATGCTTGTCATGTCAAATTCAAGGAATTGTAATTGTTATGTCTTCTTCTCCCCTCCGTTTTTTTTGTGTTTTATTTTGTGTGTGTGTGTGTGTGTGTGAATTTATTTATTTATTTTTATCTCCCAACAATAAGTGAGAACACGTGGTATTTCTCTTTCTGTGCCTGACTTGTTTCACTTAATATAATTCTCTCAAGGTCCATCCATGTTGTTGCAAATGGCAGTATTTCATTCTTTTTGATAGCTGAGTAGTATTCCAT